ACTACTACTACTACTACTACTATTACTACTACTACTACTACTACTACTACTACTACTGATACTACTACTGATACTACTACTACTACTACTACTACTACTACTACTACTACTACTACTACTACTACGCGGTCCCCTCAACCTTTAAGTACAAATATGATAAACCATGATCAGCACTCGTAGCCTCACTTTGTCATCAGAACCTTATAAACCCTAAACTCTAAATCCTCAGATCCTGGAAGGAGCTGTTGATGTGGTCACTGCAGCCCAAGAGCGTTTCGGACCGGCGGGCTCTCCGCTGGAACGCCGTCATGGCGAGCGCACCCATGGTCTATCTAGTGGTGCTCAAGGCTGCGGGCTGAGGTTTAAAGGAGCTCAGTGCTGCCTTGGTTTCGGAGGGGTTTGGAGCTTTAGGTTGTGGCGGAATGGGCAGAGTTCAGAGGTGAGTGAGGTTAAAGCAGAAGTTTGCACTAACTCGTTTGTAAACTGTAAACCCGAAACCCTAAACCCCATAGACCCGGTAGTGGTCAGATGGCACAGGGCCGGGGCCGCAGACACACGCAGGTTCTGGGCATCTACGATCCCAGGAATCGGCTCGTGCACCTGCCTTTGAGTTTTTCCCGCAGCTGGATAGGATTTTGCTTGAAGCGGCTTTGGATTGGGTTGAGGGTTTAGGGTTTAGGGACGGGCCCGGCTTGAATCACCAGAGCTTCAAAAGGCATGAATCTCAGCGCTTCCCCATGTCAACAGATTCGGGCTACATCAGATGTTTCACATCGTCTTAAATACTGAAGTGACCCCAAAACCCCCCGAATCCGGAGACCCCTCAACCCCAGCCCTAAACCCCTTATTGAAGCCTAGACCCCTGAACCCGTCGTTTCTCTTGGCAGCACCGGGTTCCGGATATCGTGGTTTGGGATTGGCAGAAGGTGGCTTGTGTGCGGCTGCGAGAATAATTTGTTTTCGATGCGTCATCAGATGTTTCTCCGGCCACCGTGAATGTAGCTTGTCACTGAGTATATAAAGGACATGACAGAATCATAGCTCCAACGTAACTTGCACATGGAAGTAACATCAAGCCTCCAGAGCATTGCGGAGCTCCCGCTGCCGAGGAACGTGCTTTGGTTCAGCTCCATTGCATTGAATGCAGCTGCTTTCAGCGCGAAGGCAGCAGCATCCTGCAGGGAGGCCGTGGCCATGTCCTTCGCCTTCATCTTTGCCCTCGTGCCGCCAGTGGCAACGGCAAACGTGATCTTTATGCTCGTGTTTCCCAGATATGTTTCCTCTGACTGCTCCTTTTTACACAAGGGCTTCGTGGTCGGCGTCGTGGTTCCATCCTCCTTCTTTTTCTCCCAGTTCTGTTCACGCCAAGCTTGTTTAGTGATCATGGGCCCGAACCGGCATCCTGGTCGCGTCGCGCGGCTGCTCTGCTTCTCCATGATCCTAGGTAGGCCTTTGGGACATTTTTGATTTCCCCTTATTGGGCTCCAAAGGATCTTATTTACCCTAAACCCTAAACCCCAAACCTTAAACCCCAAACTCTAAACCTAAACCCCAAACCTTAAACCCCAAACTCTAAACCTAAACCCCAAACCTTAAACCCCAAACCCTAAACCCTAGGATCTTGGAGAGCTTCGCTCGACGGATTCTGCTCTGCGGGGTGCAAGACCTTCGCTTGATTGTTCTATCGAGCCTGGTGCTAGGTGGGCAGTGTTTAGGGTTTAGGGTTTAGGAGCCTGGTGCTAGGTGGGCAGTGGCGAAAATACCCTGAGGGTCCATGTACCCATATGGGTGGTTGTCAAAATTATGGACCCTTTTTGGGTCCTTTTTATAATACGGCACCTATTATTTAAGGTACCCCAAATTGTATATACATTGGCCCCAAAGTACCTATATAGGGACTACTTTAAGGCAATGTATATACTGTTTGGATACATGGACCCTTAGGGATACATGGCGACAAGATAGGAACAGCAAGGGCTGGGATTCCTACTGTAGAGTCTCTTTCGAATCATCCCGCTACTCCATATCAATCCTAGAGACCTTAGACCCCTGTCTCCCTCAGGTGTTGGGGACAGCATTGCGCAGATCTCCGTGGACCTGCGGGATGGGATCGTTTACTCCTGCATCACCTGCAACTAGTCCGGCATTTGAATCTACCGTACAGTGGGTGGCGAGTTCCTGGTTGATTGCGGTCGTCTTCACGGCCAGGACTACTGTAGGAACCTGATTAAGAAACCCTGGCCCTATAACCCCAAATATAGTAGGGTTCATTTTGAGAATCCTGATTAAGGCCCAGGGTTTCTTAATCAGTTTCCAACATTACTGCATCTATCATTCTAGTACCACAGTGCATAAACGAACTCTAGATCCTCCATCCTAAAGCATGAATCCTACTAAAATAGCAGCTCAGGTGGTGCTTCGGACTATAAGCTTTTCGAGCATCCGGGCCGACGTAGGTTGAGGGCAGATGCCCTCCTCCTGCACCTTTGGATGGCATGTCAGAAAAGGTGTTGGGGAGGGTTTAGGATTGTGCTTATGGGGGCTTGTAGGACATAGGGAGCTTAGGGTTTAGGGCTGCATCTTTGGGTTGGCTTCCGGGGTCAGGACTGTTAGCAGGCTCTGGATTCAGGGGTTTAGGTGCAGGTAGGTCCTTGAGCTTCAGGGCGCGTCGTGTTGGGATAGGGCTTCGGGTTGAGCGATAGATATTAGTATGGTGTAGGGGTCGGCGTAAGTACTAACACTATCTATCCCAGATATCCCCTTCTAGCCCTATATTCTGGTTATAGTCGAATACGTCCCCCCAAAAAACTTACTTTAAGTATTTTGGTCCCCGATATTAGGCACTACATGAGCGAACACCTGGCCATCGTGTGCCTTTCTGGCTTTGCGGTGCCTCGTCTGTTTTGGCACATGCTTCCTTTCTGTCGGAACTTGTTTGAGCTAGGGTCAACATTTAGAACAGGGCTTCATAAAGTGAAGGTGCCTAAGAGAATGACAGAAGGATCATATCAGAGACCATGCTCTCTTGGGCTTGTTATCATATGCCGAAACCCTAAACCCTAAACCCCTAAACCCTAAACCCTAAACCCCCAAAAAACCCCGCACATCACGTCGCAGCCTAAAGACAGGTCCTGGTCCAGGTGATCAATCTTGACCTTCCTGTCGGCTGGGTACTTTGGTCTCTGGTGTCTCTCGTCCTGCAGATGGCAGTGCGGCTGATCTTTGACCTCATCGTTTTCAGCACCGAGGGCCAGGCGGACCGAGCCATAAAGACCACTTCCCTGCGGGGTCTTACCCAGCGCTGAAAAGATTCAGAATAGAAGCCTAAATCATTGCCCATACTATTCCTTTGATTTCCTTGATTACTATAAACAAAGGAGCCCAATACCCTACTCTAGGCATAAAGGCCCCTAGATGAGTTGCCCTTGCTGTTGGCATCGCAGGATCATGAGGTCTGCGCTGCATCAATGCCTGATTCCTTGAGGTTAGGGTTTAGGCCTTACTGTCACGCGAGGGTTGGGTGTTTAGAGTTTAGTGCCAGAAGGTCAGGGTGGTTCCAGTCGCGTCGGCCTCAGTATAGGCATCCGAATAAACCCTAAAATCCCTAAACCCCAAAACCCTAAAACCCTAAACTGTGGTCCCTGATATTGTATCATGGGATTTAGGGTTTAGGGTTTAGGGTTTATCATACCCCAGAACACTCTTCTAACGAAGCCGGACCTCTACAAAACCCCAATGGGAACTCTGCTTCTTCTCTTTAGGAGTATGACTGTTGCTGTTGCTGTTGTTGTTGTTGTTGCTGTTGCTGTTGCTGTTGCTGTTGCTGTTGATGTTGCTGTTGCTGTTGCTGTTGCTGTTGCTGTTGCTGTTGCTATTGCTGTTGTTGTTGTTGTTGTTGTTG